TGTTTCAAACATTAAACAAGTAAAACCAAAACGGTGAGGTAGGAATCTATCAGATCGTTTCGCCAAATTTAGGGAAAACTCACTTCGGGAAATTTAGTAATCCAGTGCCGGACGACGTTCAGTACTCGGAGGCAAGAAGCAGTAGCCATTATGGTGGAGCGCCGATTTTGTTGGTCTACGCGACTTGGTAAAGGTTGACTCCAGTGAATGGGAGTGCACGTGGTCACTTTGGCGGATGTCAACTGACCTGACGTGGTAACTAATGAGGATGCAGAGGGAGGTACGGCTGCCGGTGATGCTCCGGCGGCCGTCACGGTAGCTGCTACCGTTGATCCAGCTGACGTAGCGGAGGAAGACTGTGCTCCGTTTGTGGCCGAACCAGGACTGTTTCGGGTAGCACAATAACGCAGTGCAAATACCCCTCCGGTTGTACCACTAGCAACGTTGGACTGCATGTTCCCGGACGTGTTCCATGTTGAAGATCCACCCCCGGCTGAAGCTGATTTCAAGCATACATTTGTAACAGATGAAGATGCCGTTCCGGCGGTGAAGCGAAACCCGGATCGGTAAATTCCCGGTCCAAGACCCATTATACCAGCGGCAGCCAGTGGACTAGCACTGCCTGCAGTAGCCACAGCGAAAGCTTGTGCCGCTGCTGTGTTACTAGATCTAAAATACCAGGTTAAATTGGAATATAAAAATGAATTTTTTGAGTGTTTGACTTGTGAGAAATGTGAGAAATGTTAATTTGTCAGTCGCTAATGAGTCACAAAAACATTTATTTCATTCAATAAATTCATCCTTTTGTCTATCTATCTATCCTTGTATAAACCTAATATGAATTCTGTTATTATTATTATTATAATTAATGTTATTGTGAAACTACGAGACTATTTCTTACACACTACTGTTTATGTGGTCTCGACAATCACTGTCCCTGAACCTAAAAATAAAAAATAAATTGAATGTTTCGCAGTCGTACTGATAGTTCGTTTGTGCAAAAAGAACTCAAGCGTTTGAAAAGAGCTGTGAACTTGTTTTCTCCCTGCGCGGTATCATCAGCGGCTTTCTGACACTGAAACGCATACAGGAAGGTCACATCCCACCTGATTGTACGATATAGTCAATAATACGCTGATACAAATTGATGGCGTGCAGCCACCCATTTTCTCTAAAACGCTTCCAGCTACCACGCCTTTTTGTTTTCCTGTTTGTCCCGCCAATCGAGACTCGACTGAACGCAGTCAAATATCACGGTTATATTATGTTAATCATCAAATGCTTGGGTATTTGACACACTATTTGTCTTTCACGAAACAAACTTACATCGAAAGACAACAATTGAACGGCTCTGTCGTGAATGCAAACCGCTTCGGTTCTTTTGCTCTCGAAAATGCTGTGCAGAATAGCCAAATACGCGGTATTCTTTTAATCATAGGCAATAATCCTTTTGTTCACGTAACAAATGCGCAATGAATGACTACGCTGTTTCCCCAGAAAATCCAGGGATCACATATAGTAAACAATTGATGATAATGTACACACAGTTAACCAAGTACTGTGGTTTCCGCTTTATGGATATAATGATCCCTATCTTGCGGTTTCATTGTAGCACCAAAGTGGAGTATGTAAATGGAGCACTATAGCACATTTTAACCAGAACAGCATAACAGATACATAAAAATATAAAGGGTACTGTACCTTCGTTTGGACCGACGGGATGATGTAACCACAGCACCTGCTCGGGTTCTCATCGGCGTCGAATTGTCACCAAATATAGGTGGTACGATCCCCGGGCGAGGAGACATGACCTCGGTGTCAGGGCAGGAGAATACGGAAGGGCGCTTTGGTTTCGGTGTCTCAGACACTCCAGACCCTTAATGGAAAAGAAGTTCAAATAAACAATTCGCCAAATAAAGAAATGAATATTACTGTCGATTTCTGCATTCTACTTGTTGATATGAAAAGATGTCATGGTGAGGTGGGGGATAAAACATATTTAGTAGGGTGGTAGTGTGAGTTATGATCAAAGAATATGAGGCATTAGCGATTAATTAGAGGCAAAAATGTTGCTGGAACCATAGTTTTGTGTTGGGTTGAAAAATTTCAGTCGGGCCGTTATGTGTTTGGCTGGTTCGGTGACCTTCCAATCAGATTGCTTCTAGCCACTCGTTCAGGCCTGCTTCAGCTGATGAAGGTTCCGTTCTGAGCTGAGGTGAATACCTATAAAACTTTTGAAAGAAACGTACACGCTATATGAAGGTTTCAGATATTCAATATTTGATTTTCAGTGAAAAGTAACATAATAATACATGCCTTGACTGCTTTGAATCAGTCGCTCTGACGGATATTTTTTAAACTTCAGTATATTGTATCACAAATGAAGTGCATTTGACATTTGAGGAAAAAGAAAAATCCCGAAGAACGAAACCTACACAGAAGGATTATCATACACAGCTTTTGGGCTCTGATATTCTGCATGGGATTTACAAGATAAATATATTTCAAGTTTTGATCGTTTAAGACCAGTGTGAGTTTCGAATCCCAACACAAAGATTGACGCTTAGAGTCTAGACAAGTAAACAGCATACACTGCTGACGAGTTCCTTGAAAAACGGGATAGATCTCCACCGCTCTTTTTTCACACCATTACACAATTTCCATATACATGCTGTATTAGCAAACTTTAGCAGAAAATGGGTTTTTGATGTCTTCGGTTGTCAGTAAGTATGGCATGCTGAACAAGCCCCAAAGTAGCAGTAATCCGAAATACGTATTGTGTGTCAACGTCTTGTAAACCAAGCTAAGCTTTCGTGTTTTGGAGGGGAACAACAAGCGGTGATTTGGCAAACAGTTAAACTAATGCCACAGGTAAAATGTTTACAACTGAGGCTGGAGAGTCAATAAGTGTTGAGTTGTAAATCTAGGCAAATGAGGATAATTGATTTATGTCAGAAATGAGGCATTTTTATCTTCACACGTTGATCCATAAGTGATCCCAAGAAAGCATCGCGAGGTTAATGGTTTTTTATCACTCTGAAACAGAAGGACACTTCGAAAAAAAAGACGTAGAGGAAAAAGTTGCTCAGAGCAGGCTGTATTGCCCGAGTCTCACTCTACTGCTTGCTGTTAAGCGACTTAGGCCGGTGTTGGCTGATTGTTCCTGATTCGAGAGGTTCGGGCTTAAACCCTGCCACAAGCACTCACTTTTGCGGGTGGACATCTTCGCTGTCGCACCACGCCTAACCAATTTAGTCCCTACATGACTCATCAATTCTAATCCTAGGACCTAAGTTTTCAGTTTCCGTGAATGAGAATAATGTCTGTGTTAATATGAAATCCACTAATTCTCGAGTGCTCATTGTACACCAAGGTACAATTAGGAAAAAGTACCACTTTAGAAATGGTCGTTTCTGTAAGAAAGCTAATCACCGATCCAGTTGTCTGATTACTGTTTCATATCACCGATAACGTTCCCGAAGCAGACAAAACCGAGCTCCTTTCGACAGCATGCGTGTTAACTCACATGAGACCACGGAACCTCGCGCGTAATCCGGCCCACCGCCACTTTGGAGTTGAGCAAAACTACTTCGGGGTGTGAGTGAACCGGTTCGTTCGACAACGGTAGGTTCGTTAGCTAATCGATCGCTTGCCTGTCGAGCACGCTGCAATTCCTCAGTTCCTCCGAATGTGCATGCCATCAATTTCACTGTGCCCATAAGACGATCTTGAATGTTCTTTTCCGACACATGATCGTCCGCATTGGAATGACGTGTGGGCTAAATCAGATAGAATCATGAACGACAAAATGGTAAACGTAAAAGCAAACTCATGCAGCATAGTCCAGGTTAAATCCTGCAATCGTATTTATTCAATCAATCAATCAATCAATCAATCAATCAATCAATCAATCAATCAATCAATCAATCGATCGATCAATCAGTCAATCAATCAGGTTTCAAAAGTGCAATGTAATGAAAAAAAAATAATCATTGACACCATATATATATATATTACGAATAGAACAAGGAGTGGCGAACAAGCTCGTTTTCAGTTATTCGTAGTCATACCAAATACATCACAATAAATATTACGCTGTTTATATATAAATCAGTATTCAACCATAAAAACGCAAACAAATGTTTCGGGAAAGAAAAAATAACCTCTTGGGTTATCTGGGGCTAATATCGTCTTGGGACCGGATGTGGAATTCTCAATGATCACATAATTGTTAGGTCATCCAATCGATGGGACCACTTGGAATATGGGGTGTGTAGGGGGCAGGCCAGGGGAGCTTAAGCGACTGAACAAACTGTTGTTAGGCACACACAGGAGGTGGTGCAGCCGAATTCGTACCACTTCCGCTGTGGCCAACACACGACATCGAACGTGCCTTGTTAATCTACCACGAACCCTATACAAGGGACGGAATGCCTCGGTCACATACACAGTGTGATTTGTCTGAACTAGGTGCGAAACCACTGCACTAGTGAGTAACTTAATCGTTCCTGTGTTTAGCCGTACGGGGTGGTGGCCACGGATTAGTTCGGACAAACGCCTGACCGTGAGGCCTATGTACGTGGTTCCACAGGAACACGCAGAATGAGTACACACAAAATGAGACGGCAGAATCCGTCATTTTGTCCTTTAGTCGTAAACACACAATTGGCTGGGAAGTGAACAAAACATTGAGCTTTGCTGCATAGAAGGTATTAATAACAGCATCTGATAGTCTCCTTTGTATTACTTCTGCTGATGTATCCCTCTCGAACTGCAAGGCAATGTATACCGACTCCTTTCTGACCTCAGTCTTCTTCACAATATCTCCACTGTACTGAATCATCTTGCTAACCAATCGTTCTGGTTAGCCATTGTGTGTGAAGATAGTACGTAAGAACCGGAGCTTTTCTTCTATTGTGTCCCCACTACAAATTTTCCTTTGCTCTATCTGCTAGGCAGTGCACCAAATACCTCTTCACTTTGAGCGGTACAAAGCTGCGAAAATGAACATATTAGCCCTTCCAAGTCGCCTTCCCATGCACTGATCGTTCCACCGAGCCATCCGATCTACGACTCAACCGGACATCTAAAAATGCCAATTTATCGTCGTTTTTCATTTCGAAAGTAAATATTATGTTCTGGTGAGCATACAGTAAGGAAAATTTTTAGTGAGGACACAATAGAATAAACTTAAGCTTAAACTTGGTGAAACACACCCACCTTCTCCCCAGGTGATTTCGTCTCGATCAGTAGCGTGGAGCGTACAGTTGCAGACTTGGGTCTTTTTTGCACCTCGTCGCTCGTGCAAGCTCCATTCCCGTACGAGTTTGTTTGAGTATGCAACGAATTGGTAAGTTCAGTGCCACGATCAGACATGGTGCTCGATTTTCGTTGCTCCGTATCTGAATGTCGATCAGAGGACGATCGGTGGTTGGTGGATCCACGGGAGAAAAATCCACGGGCTGCAGTAAACTTGTTTGGAGACCGCGCCGGACTAGGGCATTCTTTCGGGGAGAGCTGAAGAGACAGATTAGTTTTCGTAACCTGGATGAGAGTGGTATTTGTGGCAGTATTAAGCATGTCTAGACGTCGAAAAATGCATCAGTTGATCGATTTGATAAACAGAAACATATAAAATTAAGCCACACCTTTACTTTGTTTAACTGATATATGTACTTGTTAACCAAAATAATCTGCCATATGCCGTATCCTAGTGACATTTCTAGTTGTTTACTGGTGCATTCGGTCACATGACTTGTTCCGTTGATTACCATTAATGAACAGACACTGAAGCTTTATATTTAAGTGGAACATGTTTATCAAGCAAAATATCACCAGAATATTTGCATTCGCCGGTATTTTACTGGTAACAGGGATGCTTTTAGTATATTTTATCATATTTATTACACATTTCACATTTAACTCACAGTTACTTGCGAAAAGTGGTGTGGGATAATTGATACTGAATTGAGCTAACCATCCTTCAGACTTCACCTTCACGCACGATTCTCAGTTCTTCCAGTCAATGATGCACTTGGATGTGATAGACTCGAGTTTTGCTCTTATTAGAGCTCACCAGTAGTGCATATTCACCGTTCCATCGGGGCTTGGATCCTCGGACCCATCGCATGGAATGCGTGTGTGTTACCACTGTGTTACCACTGTGTCACCCACCACACACTAGGCTTAAACTCGATTGTCAACTAATGTTTGTTCAGATGTAATTGTCGGTGATAGTCAGTCAGCTCAANTGGTCCGACAGCAGCAAACGGCGGCACAATTGATTATGCATTAACTCCAATCGAAACCGTCTCACCAAATCAGGACTTCCATGCAGGTCACAGGCTGACTTGCCACAAAACTTCTACGCTCGATTGTTAATGCGCATTTAACTCACAACTACTTCTGAGTCATGGTGTGGGATAATTGGCACTGCTTTGAACTGGCCATCCTTCACACACCTTCCATATGATGAATCCGGAATTCAAAGCTCTGTCGGGGCGGTGGATCTACAATGCCGCTGAGCTCTAGTAAGACCGAGTGTATCATTGGTTGTAGGAAACCAGGATTGTGTGTGAAGCTGAAGTCCGAGGAATGGTCGGTTCAAATCATTATCAATTATCCCACACCATCACTCCAAAATGAGTGTGAATTAAACTAAAGTATTTATCATAAATATAATAATCACCCGAGAGGAATACCTTATTACGAGTGGTCCCATTTGGTTGTTGTGATTGTTGTTTTTGATGCTGCTGCTGCTGCTTCACTGGACTCGAAGGAGAGGAGCGTAAGCCCAATTTAGCATATCGTCCCACTTCATCAGTACTGTCATCTGTGGGTCGAAGACGTACTAAACCACCGGGGCAATGCAAAGCGGCTAACATGGCTGTTTTGGCCAACGTTTCACATGCCCATTTGTGCGAAGCATCCTTTGCGCGTCGAGTACGTCTTGTGGCCAAATCCAAACTTTCTGTGATGGATGAATGGGCTGAAGCGGGACGAGATGTTGGCAGTGAGTCGGATTTCAGCTTCCCTTCCACGGCCAAACATTCTGGAATGAGTTTGAAAAAAAAGGAGAGGAGGATATAAGGCATTAGTGAACACCCACACTCGGAATTATTGGTAATAATCTAAACCGAAGCTGTTCCTGGTCATTCGCTGAGTCGATCCATTCACCGTAATTGCACCAGACACCATCATTAGGAAACAAATGGCTAGACTTCATTATGATTCAAAATAATTGTTTTGATCTTGATTTTAGAAGAAATTTAAAATATTGGATAGGAATGATATGACGATGGTGAGAATACTGTTGGTAGATTACAGTGTACTTGTTGGAAAGCAGGAACGCAAACAACCACGATCACCATCCCCACCAACCACACCACCACCAGAACCACAACGGTTCAGCCCATCAGTACGGAGACAGTTAGTTCATTTGCTGCAGTGAGTTCGTGTAACGCTGAAAGAAGTGAAATACTCGTGACCGGCTTGAAATGCCCCAAATTGGGTTCCATAACTTGGATAAGACCTCGAACCATTTCATCCCCGACTGTAGAACACAGATAGATCGATGCGCGCAACATACATTTAAACACATTTATGAAGGCCAAATTATTCGGACTACATAAAAACAGTTTGAAACTAATAAATAAATAAATGAACGACTGAGTTGTTGTTAACCCGATTTGATTCCATTCCAGAACAGATGAGAAGTAACCAATTAGATAAGACCCCTCGCAGAATAACATTATTGATCCGCACAATTAACCGCAAACACTTTAGATATAACCAAAGAACGATAAACATAATGACATCTCGGCCGAGGATGAGACATATTCAGTCCAGTTTCAGCAGTAGACGGACAAAGGAAAATACAAATGGGTGTGACTCCTTCTACTTATCAAAAATATACGCTCAACTATTCTGATCAAACATCACTGAATACTTATACCATATTTTGACCCATATTGCGGTTTTAGTCTTCATGCTTGTGAACAAGATTGCTAATAACGTCAAACCTATTAGCATGTCTGACAGTATTCATAGGTTTCACTACTAAGTGAAATAGATATAGTTTTCGACTATCAGTCGATATAGAACTCGAAGAATGTATAGAGTGATGGAGTAGAACGTTCGTAAGGAGTAGAATGTGAGCCCGAGCCGGTACCACAGTTTTCATCATAAGTAAACCTTAGGAAAATTAATTGATGGACTATTTCATACGAAGCAAATTTCAGTTTATTACATCGAATCAGAATAAAGGAGATCATGTTCACTGGTTTGATCACTCACCTCTTTCCTGAACGCCATTCTCAAACAGTGTCCCATGTGACTCATTAGGCCCTTCAAAATTGAGACCTATTTCGGGCACGTTGGCGCTACTCAGCACGGTCCAGCTTTGATTCAATGGTGTTTCCGGTTTTTCAATCTCTTCCAGAACCTTTAATTGAACATACGTAGTAAAAAACAGTACGGTAGGTGGCTTGGAGATCTAAGTGACCAGTTAAAACCATCTCAGAGGTGAATGACGCTACATAGTTTACACCACTTCATTGACGTCAATCATACATCGATTTTGGAAAGAAATTTTATAGAGTATATCAAATTTTGAAGCCATGTGGGATAGTAGTTGAACAAACACTAAAAGTATCGATAAAACGATTTGGATTTCTCATTCATTTGCTACTTTACCTTTATATTACCTTGTTCTTTTGGGTAACACGAATCCGCTGTCTGGCTTGGTCATTTCTTGCATTTTTGAGGTGCTCAGTAAATAAACGGATAAACCACGATAGTCATTTCCCCGTTCCAGATTTCTTGGAGGAGATCAAGAACTTACGTTAAATAAAGTGAACTGACTATCGTTCCAACTTCATTCCCAAAAATAATCTTCAGATCATCCAATCAACCATGCACTAGGGATGCACTGGTCTTGAGTTACTGCTTGTATGGAGGTCATGAGTGATGTATACCACCGGCCCAATGCAGTGCTCCAAATCCGAACCTCTTGCACTGAATGCGTGCGTGTATTGCCACCGTGCTAACGGTCGACCACACCAATTGAGTAATGTGGTTGAATGTGATATTTGAATGAGTGTCAAATAAAATTAATGATAACCCCGAAAGTACTACTCATGAGTAGTTGCATCTAATGATGAAATTATCTAGAAAATTAATAACCGAAGTATCCGGTTTACTGCAGCCTATGGTGCAAAATAAGCGCCCAACTTCCAAAAATGGTGATTACTGTTCCGCCTTTCTTAGTTGGCCTGAATCATTTTAAATCCACTGCAATCTTGGACTGATCAAATGCTTTTTTGAGGAAAATTCTTGTTATATTCCCCAAATGTCCCTTGTTGAGATATTATTATTATTATTATCATTATTAATAATATTATTATTATTATTATCGTCATCATAGAGGGAAGTAATATATGATACATGATTGAAAAAATTATAGGCCGATGGAGATACATTGGTTTTGGCGGAATAAAAATCGAAATCAAATGAGGTTGTCGACCTTCCACTGATTGTGGACGTACAACAGAAATAATCTGACTCTCGAAACATTTAGGTTCGTTATTTCCCACTTTAATTTTGAATTTTTCTGTGTATCATGTGCTTTTTCCAGCCCGAAGGATTTGATGTTTGATCACGGTTATTCGCGCAATAGGTAGCACTGAGCTGTTTTACTATGATTCCTATGAGCAGTGATCTGTAATGTCGAGGGTATCAGGTTAATACCGTCTGATAAAAGAATCCGCAACGTAAGCTGATCGCAGTGTCTTATTCACTGCGCCTTGGATCTGAATTATAATGCTCACCTCCTCCTCGTCATCGACTTTCGTCTCAAAAGCACTGCTGCCTTCCCCGATACTCTCTTTGTCCATCTCTTTGGTTTCTGATCCTGCATCGATTTGTTTGGCACACGAGTCACCCTCTTTTTTCGTGTCGGAGGTCGAAACATCCATCGATTTGTCCGTTTTTGTTTCCTTTTTAACACACTTGTTCTCTTCCAAGTTCTCATCTTTATCAACCAGTAGCACACATTGTTCTGTCTCGTCCGCAATCACCTCGCATGAAGCCAAAGGAGCTAGACGACAATGTGTCCCAGCAAGATTCCGCTCTCCGTCCGGTTCGTTTTCGACAGCGGACCTGGGTCGTTCTTTCGTTTGACCGGATCTTTCCGTCTGAGTGGGAAAGACATTGATGGTAAAAAAAATTCATAAGGGCAGATAGAATTTAACCAAACATGAATACACTACTGAAGTGAAAGTGGTAAAATTGTTTTTAAAATGAATGTTAGAAATATGTGAGCAGATCATTGCTGAAAATTGAAACCCGATACGATGGCAACAATGCGGCTGTTTTGTTAGCGGGTAGGACAACATTGAATGTCTAGAATGAAAAATAATTTCATGCTTAAAAAGGAGTAGTATTTATGTCAAAAGGTTACTATATGTTCAACACTGTCATTTGGAAATGGGGCTTAAGTAACTCGGACCTTCCCTAATACACCGGTTCACCCCTTGTTAAAAATCCGATCTCTCCGAAAATGACTAACGAATAGTGGACAAAAAGCTTCTAAAAAACGTGTAATCCATGAGTGATTTGTGAACTCATCTATTGCTTAGTTGTAGGTTGTGTCAAAGAATCACAAACGGGTACTTTGTCGAATTTCAACCCTGTTCTTTTGCTCTGGATTGTACGCAATCTATCAATACATGCTCTTCTCAATCATCATAAAATGCGATTATTGGTGACTTCATAGTTTCAAGATCGGTTTTGCAAAGATCAAATAGTGCACGGTATTTTTGTTCAAGGGGAAGGAATCAGTACACCCCATTTATTGATGCTCTAGTAAAACGGATTCACACGTATTGGTTATAATGGTCATCATCGGAGTTGGGCTAATTATCACCCAAAAGACATTCCCCTGAATGGTGGTCGTATCACATACGGTAACTTCGAAAATCACCGAAAGTACCACTATTCGCTTTGGAGGTAAAAGACAAATATTAGAATCGATCTGTTCAACTAAGTTTAATGGAGCGCCTGGAATCAGCAAAAAGTAGCTTCAAAATGAGTGGATGAATTCGTAAGTAAGTATAAGGCTAAAAACAGAGTAAGGGTAAATACAATGTAAGCGTTAATTTTTCTCGATAAGGCAAAATCTATATAAAACTATGGTCAAGGAGAAAACGTCGTCTGAAGATTATTTTCAACTAACGATAACCTAGCACACAATTCACGATTTATAATACAAACTACTTTTTATTCATCCATTTCAACAATAATCACAAGGACTTCGGTGTCTTGTTTAAAGGGGTTTATATCTGACATTTTACCATGCCAACCGCATTCAGTCGTGGTTTATCCGGGATGAATGAATATGCCACCAGTATGGCTATTACTAAAAATAGCCGAGGTGACCAAACGGTCAAGATCACGTACTTATTGCCAAGGAGGACTTCTATTCAAATCTCACCTACGCCAACTAACTTTCGCCATCATCTTTGTATGATAGATCTTTGAATGGCCGTTCCTCCCCTCCGGATAGTTATTTGCATCATCAGATGTACTCAATAAAAATAAGTAAAAGAAAAGCCCAAAGAAGAATTGGAACTTGACGGAAGCATCTTATGCATTTATATAAGCTGGTTCTCCTATATGCTGTCGAACTAGGTGTTTAATTTATTTAGGCAGTTGGTCTGAAAACAAGAATTTGATTCATCCATATGGCAAATTGCTTAATTCCGGAACTAAAATTCTGATCCTCACAAAATGGCTTTTCCTTTTCCCATCTCTCCAAATGGGCATGATAACTCAGTTGTGGATCTGAGTGTACCGGGGGGGGGGGGGGAGGGGGACGGTTTTACGAAAGACAATACCGGAAAAAGTATTTTGTCTACGAAACCAGATTGGCTTGCACTAGGTTCAGCGGCCTGAATAAACGACCGCCACGTACATGTCGTCTGCTGAATGAAGAATGTACAAGTAAGGTGTTCATGTGTGACAAATTTTCCACCTAAATGTATGTGAAACATGATTGAGTTTGGCCGAGCTTAGGACAGCACAGGGTGTTATGGCCAAGGGTTACAGGAATCGATGGGTAAGATTCACCGTAGAAACTATTGCGAGATAACTTCGGATCTAAGGGTGGTATATAATATTCTTCAACAGGAAGGTAACCTAGTTTCGGACAGATCTTATTCAAGGCACAGTTGTATTTACCAGAAAGCCGATTTCCAACTACCATTTAGCATGTAACATCAGATTCTTCTCACAGTTATTGAAATCCAAACCCCTACGATAATTCATAATTATTGAGCTGTTGCACATGTGTGCTGTTTAATAATTAATCTTATATTTATATTTGAAACTACAGCTGTTGTAACATACTACTCATTTGTGAGTAGTTCGCAAAAAATGCAATTGGCGGTTTCTGATCGAAAATGAACAGGACCTGTTGGAGCGAATTGCTGCTGTTCAGTCTGTTAACTACAACAATGCGCATCTGATAGTGTACCGTTCCATTAACTGTCCTGTGTCAGTATGGGGATTCTGAAAACTTGTTCCAAATGAGATATTTTGTTGCATGAATACCAATTTACCGATACCCTCACCCTTATTCATAATAGACATCTATCCTCATCCAGGCACCCCTTGTGAAATCATAACACTACTACTACTACTACTACTACTACTACTACTACTACCACTACTAACACGACTACTGTTTTAAATCCACAAGACAGTACCACGATGAGGGGTCATCTGTTTGCAGAACAGTTTCGGATAGGGGCAAATAAGGTTGCATAGAACGAAACAGCTAATTAGCAACAATTACTTGGTATTTTCGTGATCCTCTCTTTATCAGTAATCGCCAGCATGAAATTCTGTTTGCCTCTTCTGTATTTGCAATATTAAATCCTCAAACTTACTTGAGAGTGGCGTGGGAATCCAAAAACCCCTTCTTGGCGAGTGTAAAAAGGTGAGTGGTAACTTATAACACTACTACGATTGCCTGATAAAGCTCAACATACGATAAACGTTTGTTAATCCTCAATTTAATACATTGTATAATCTTTGGAATAATGGCAAGTGCCATTTTAGTTCATCCATTAAAATCTTAGATTGTTTCTTATTACCGTTGTTTTCGAATCCACAGCTCAGGCTTTCTTCATACTAACGGGATTGACGTATAAGAATAGACTAATGTGTTATAATGAATTGGAATATATATTTAGATGAAAAGGTCAATAAGAGAGGTTAGCGGAAGAATATTTACTCAAGGACTAATCAAAAGGTCGAAACTGAAGCTTAATGGTCTCTGAAACATACAAATACATGAATATCTCCAAGGATTTCGGGAGCAACTTGAGCCGATATAATAACCACATTGGTTACCTTTCTAACTTCTGGTAGAATGGGTAATTCCAGAGGTGGATCTTCTCTCATATTGAAAAGACCACTGTATACCGGTGAGCGTGGAATCAGCGGTGGTGGTGGTGGTGCTGATGCTGGTACTGGATGCGGAACCAAAGCTGCGACCGAAGCGGCAGCAGCAACACCAGAGGCGCCGGTGTTTATCATAGGCGGTGTTGTGGATGCACTGCCAGTGACAATTAGAGAGTACGATCTTTCGGTCGAATTGGGATCTGTGGATTTGCATATGAATTGCGTGCTACTCACCGAGTGTCTTGTAGTTATCTCTGTGTCGGTACCCCGTTCGTAGGTGATTTCCGAGCGGAACATACGCGAATTGTCACCGGTGGAAGTGGGTTTAAGAAAACTTGGAGAGGATAGGTTATTCGGAGCTACTGATATAGAAAGTGGCCGGGTAGTTTGCAGTCGCTCTGGGCGGCGTTTAATAGACTGATCTTGGTTTCCAGATAACATTGTTGTTTTTATTGATGTTGTTTCGTCTGAGGTAGTTGTTGTTTTAGCGGTTGTGTCAATGGTAGTTGTGGTGATCGCGGTGGATAATGAGGTGCCAACAGTAGCAGCTGTTGCTATGTTGGTATTGGTTGCAGTGCTGGTAGCGATGGTGGCGATGGTGGTAGAAGTGGTGGTGATGGTTGCGACGGCGGCGGTGGTGACGATAGCATTTGCCGTGACACACTCGGACTGGTCACTTGGAATGCAATCTTCGCCTTCGGACACAAGCTCTTCGCTCCTCGACTGACCATCTTCCACTCTAGTCAGTTGTTCTTCCAAAATTGGCAGCCTTACAAAGCCGATGGATTCCGAAACTCGACTATAGCCTTGATCTCGTCCACCAGAGACATCACCATGGCTACAGATATGAAAAAACAGATAAACAAAACATAGTTTAATAGTCTTATTCTGAGAATAATAAACACAGGAATCCACAATTTTTCTTAACTGTCTAACTCAGGAGATAAAGATTGAAATCTGAAAAATAAATATCTACGGTTAATTTTGTAAGACCAGGAATATATGTCAGAAAAGGTAACTGTCCTTTCTGATGCTACGTAACAGTAATGCCATTCAAAGCATCAGGGTGACTGCCAAAAGCTGTTAACCATGGTTGCTAAAACAAGTATCTAAACAAATATAATTAATTTTCCAAGGTAGACGTTAAGACAAAAACGCCCAAACTCAGTTGTCTGACATACACGCTTTGCATTGATGTTGACCCACTAATCCTAAAAGGCAATATCGTTCAATCAATTGGTTCCACTTGAATTTGACAGATGTCCTGAGGGTGAGTGGGAGAGACCGGTTCACTCAACTCTTTTCCCCTCTCCGCACACCCCCTCAGCCCCCTGAAATTCGAACTAGATCTATTCTTTTCTTTCGCTATTTCAAGTTTGATCAGTTTCGAAATAAAAGAGGTCTGAACCAAGACTTGAAAAGCGCTTTACAACAGCTGCACACTTGTTGAATGTTGTCAGCAGTTTGAACCTTGATTATTCACTTGATCACCGGACAGTGAGTTGATAAGATTGTTTTTCTTAGTTTACTTGTGATATAACCCAACTTCGCAAACCTTTCGCAAGTAACCAACCAGGATGATTTGTACATCATAGAGCAGTGGTTCAGTGGGAAACATTCCGGAAGAATGAGTTAACACTTAAGGCTCCGATTAACAAAAAAAGAATAACTAAAGAACTTAGTGTGTAGAAAATGTTTGGGCATACTTTGTGGTTCTTCACAGGATTAGGCAGCGTGCGTTTATAACAGTCCAGAGTGATTTGATTAAACTTTAGTTATTTTTCTATTTTATCCCATTGATTTCTGTATCGAGTGAATATGTTGTGAGACATTTTTAGAAACATGTGCATGCCCTGTAGTTTGTGTCATATACGTATTCTACAACTCTAGTAAATGGTAGATGAAAATCTGTCGTTGTGAGGACTCAAATGACGTGCCGGGTGAACTAGAATCGGACATGCAGTGATGATGATGTTCGGAAAATCGGAGTGAAAGAGAATAGGCAAGTCACGTGAACTTCACGTGACCAATTGGACAGGGGACTCTACCATCCAGGGACCGTGCCTCGAACACGGAATATTGATTGCAACCTCCGAGCTTGCATTCACCGGCAAAATTTCCCCTGTTTAGGAATTAAAGTAACATTGGGAAATGTTTCCCTCTATCTTTTATTGGGGCACACTGCACCGTCACGATGTAGTCACAATTTACTATCATCCAGGGGCGTTGTTTCGTTCCGGGAAAATTTCATCAAAACAAAAGCGTTTATGACACCCTCGTTCATCTGGTTATTTGTATTCGTTCGTTGCCCTTGCGTATGTTTGTGTGGGCGCGTGCATTCATACGTGCATGCTGGCGAGCACGTACGATTCCGACCAAGAGCATGAGCACGAGCATAGCGAGACAGACAGAGCGAGTGTGTGTGTGTGTGTGTGTGTGTGTCAAGGCAACTAAAGAAGTAATCGTACGCGGTCCAGACCCATCCAGTTTTACCGGACAATAGTCAAGTTGAAAGCACTAAATAGTTCGGTCGTTTGTCTAAATACGCCAACGGGTCGATGCAGTCAGTTAACAGTCAACCGGACTAATTTTATTTGGTCAAACTGTCAGAGTTATTTATTAATATTCACTTATCGGTTGCAGATTCCCACGGCTCACTTTTACAATTGAATGCATGCACGCTTGACTCTATATTTGCCACTAACCTTGAACTTACAACTTCACATATACTTCAGAACTTTGCATGTACGTAAAGCTGTCTTTTTTCTAAATCTGCAGGCAGTACTTCCATTCATCTCCCACATACCATCCCCATTAGTTCTGCAATATTTTCTACTTCGAATGATTCCGCTGACGTAGGTTCATGTTATAGCTCGCCGCTATCTTCCTGGTCACCTGTCTCAGCAGTACCATTTCATTCAGAGCCGGCCGTTTCAGTCTTTCGACCTCAATCTGCGGGCATAATGGATTCGTTCAATGTAAGAACTCTAATGCGTATAGGACAATATGCAGATTTGGCTTTTAAGCTCGAAAGTCTGGAGATCGATGCGGGTTGCCTCTCAGAAGCACGCTCAGTGATCCAATGGATGTCCACTTCTGATCAAAAATAACCGTTTCAAATGCACTGTTTCCGAGGACCCTGTTGCATCAACGTCTGATCCAGCAGGCCTTGATCGCCAAGATTGAGGCTGCTCTGTTGGACTGAATCGCAGTAGATAGCCATCTATGCGCATTGATACTCCGAGGCTCAAGTAAAGTCAATAAGCCGAAATCGGGCGAACGGCACTTCTTCCTGATTTCCGCATACGCTCCCACAGACTGTAGTACAGATACACTCAAAGATGTCTTCTATCAC